CCGCGGGGTACGGGCGCTGTGTGAGCCTGCGGAGGGGCGGGGAAGGGCCTCGGTGCGTGTCGGTCTCTTCCCGCAGAGCGGTGTAGGGCGGTGGGAGGCGCGGGGAGAAACCGGCAGTGTGCTGGTTCCCGGTGCTCGGTGTTGGAGAGGCTTTCTGTCCCTCAGTAAATCCGCCTTGCCTGTTTGTTGCCCTGTTTTTTCACTGCTGTTGCAGGGTGGTGCCTGTCAAGTCGTGGGAATAGCCGGCGAAGCTGCTTGGGATTGTGTGGAAAATGCTGGGAGAGAAAAAGCAGCTAATGGTGAAAAGAGACCTTTACACAGATCCCACGTTTCCGGCCAGTGACACCTCTATATTTTTTGATTACTGTACCCCACTTGCCCAGTTCAGAGGAGAGATATCTTGGCTGAGACCTAAGGTGAGTTTTAAGGTATGAAAGGTTGATGTTAGCAGAACTGGGCTTTAAGGTAGCACTGAATGACTGCTTCTGGGTGCTTTTTATTGTTTAGAAGTGACAAAACCAATGTGTTTTTAACAATTGTGTCTTTAACAATACACGAGGTCCAGTTTTTAAGTCTGAGTGATTGTTTGTAGGTTTGACTTAAATCCTCTTTAGAGCTCCTGAATTTCATGGCAATTGTAGAAACTCAGATTTTTTTTTGTTATAAATATGTTTTATTATAAATAATTTGCATACTAAATTAGAAAGCAGCATTATGTCATTCCAGTTTTTTTACCATATAGTGCATTGTCTTGAAAACAACTGGATTTTAGAACTTTTCAGAAGTATATTGGTTTTTTTTCTATTGTTGATTTCTTTGATAACAAGAAAGAAAACTTACAATGTTTATAACTTGTCATATGACCTGCATTGCTTTTAAACTTCCAGCTGGGTTGTGGAGCAACCCACATGGGACCTGAAAGCTTTATAATGCATTTCTGCAGTATGCTCATTTAAAGTGAAGTATTTATGGTACTGCCTTTGTGGGGAGGGGAAAAAAGGCTATAAAAATGTAATGGAGGAAGAAAATGTGTTGTCTTCAGTGATATTTTCTCCCCTGCATCTGGGGATGGCTACAGAGCAGTGACAGAGCTGTTGGTTATCAAGTGTAATTGGCAAACAGATGGCTTCATGCAGCCCAGTGTGCAGCTTCTGCTTTTGTGCTTTACACCTTGGTCACTTCTGAGGGCTGATCAGTTCATTTCCATCTCTTGCAGTGTTTATGTGTAAGAAGAACTATTTTGAAAACTCACTTTCAGGTCCAATTAAGTGTTCAAGACATCACATTTGAAATTAGTCGTTTTGCTGCCGACTAATCTATTTTTATGTGCCCTAGGAAAGGTTTTTCCCTCGTGCTGATTCAGAGGTTTTTGTAGCTCAGGACGTGCAGTTCGATGTTGAGGGCAGCAGCTCTGTCATAGCTGATCATAGGTGTAGCAAAAGGAGCTGATGAATTATGTTGTCTTTCACTTATTACTGATTCTGCTAAGGTTGCACCTCATGGTGGCATTTGTGTACTAGAATTCATGTTGGAATTAGATTGATGTCACCGAAAGTACCTGCAGAATAGCCGCGAGGTATTAATTTGTTACTGCTTGTTAGGATGGAAAAGAAATTTTCTAGAAGTAAAAATTCCCTTATGTTGTGAGAGTTCTCTGGAGCCCTCCCATTCTGTGAAACACAGACTTACCTAAGAATGTCATGCAGGATTTAGCTTTGACTCTTTGTCTTTTAATTTCAGGACATTTGTTCTACTCCTCGGTTATTTTCAAACAATCTGCAGGATGTTCAAGTGAAACAAGGAATTTTGGGAGACTGTTGGTTCCTGTGTGCCTGTGTAGCTTTGCAGAAGAGTAAATACCTACTGAACAAGGTACACCTGTGTAGCTTTGCAGAAGAGTAAATATCTACTGAACAAGGTACAGAGAAGTTTCATGTTTGAGAAGTTTTCTTTACCTAATTGACTATTGTGTGTTGTTCTGGAGTCCCAAGCTGCCATATGAGTATTGACTTCCTTATGATTTGTTATGGTTTTGTTGTCATATTTTTTTTCTGTATTCATTACAAATGGTTGATATTCAGCATATTTTAAACCGGTTTTGTTTAAAAAAAAGATAAATCATTGTTTGTCTTGATTTTGGGTTTTTCCATCTAGGTAATCCCTCCAGGTCAGCCCAGCTGGACAGATGAGTCCTACCAAGGCTGTTTCACTTGTCGGGTCTGGCAGTTTGGGCACTGGGTGGAAGTGACCATCGATGATCGCTTGCCTTGCCTTGGGGGTAAACTCTGCTTTTCCCAGTGTCAGACAGAGGATTTGTTTTGGCTTCCACTATTGGAAAAAGCATACGCAAAGTACGTGAACACTATTATTGAGGGAAATATTTGTATATACCTTCTGCTTGCTTATTTCACCTAACTACTTTGGGCAGAGATCCTTGTGCTGTTCAGTATAAAGTTCTGGCTGCTGGCTGTCCCCATCCTAGCTCGTGCAGAAGTTGCTCTTTAAACTGTGGATCTGTAGTGTGTTTCTAGTTGCATATGAGGTAGGATAGTCTTAGTGAGAGAATTATGATGAAAAGTAAGAGCTGCCATGAATTTTCAGGATTCTAATGATGTTCATTAAGTAACTGTCCAATCATCATCTAATTTGTTTAAGGAAGATATTTTACTAGGGAAGATGAGAGCTCAATGGAAAGCAGAAAGCATGCAAACAGTTTCATGGAAAGCAGCAGCGTTACTAGTTTTTGCTAGTTGAGGCTCTGGTTGTGTGAGTTTCACTGCTCTTCTACTTAAATTTGATAGTTTATTTGAGAAGAAACCACCGTATTGTTAATGTGTTTGAAAATGCAATGCTTTAATGGTTTATGATGCATCCGTAGAAAAGTTGTCCAGGTAACAAAGCAATTTGGAGACAAACTGCACTGCTAAGATAGACATCTAGTGTCCAAAAGAACTTGGATAGAGATGGTGTGGTTGCCAGCAGAGGGCAGAGGAAGACCTTTTTGTTTAACTGTAGGTAGCTTGACCAGAAGTTGTGAAGCAGCAATGTCGTGTTAAAGCTTCTCTGTAGTTTGAAATGTGATATTCTTTGTTTTCTTTGGAGATCTTACTGTTCTGTCTTACAGTTCTATTATAATCTTGATTTCTTTTGCTATTTTTTTCCCATCTGCTGCATCAGGTTGGGTAGTCTCTTGATTTGCTTAGATTGTTGAAGGATGTGCTACTCTGGTGGTTTGTACAGAGTGAACAAAGAATAACTGAAGAAGAAGAAGAAATATTTTTTATTTATACAGAATGCAGTTAGTGTATCACAAAAGATGGTGTAAGCATAGATAATAAGGCACAAATAATTCATGCTAGACTACAGCACTTTTTATATGGGGTGGAGTGAATTATAGTAAACATCCCATCAAACAGTGGAATGTCTAGTGACTTACATGTTCTTCAGATGTTGTATTCTGTATGAATAAATGGCATGTGCTTTCTTTTGCCTACTTCGGGATATGAGGTAGGGTACAGTCATGACTGGGGTTGAAAGTACGTAAGAGCTGTATTTCTTTAATCCTGCTGTCTGTACAGACCTTTTCTGGGTGTTTTTTAGAGTGCATGGATCTTATGAGCAGTTGTGGGCAGGACAGGTGGCAGATGCTGTGGTCGATCTGACTGGAGGAATTGCTGAAAGATGGACCCTGAAAGGCCCTGGAAAAAACATGGAGAAAGAGAAGACTGGCATGGTTTTGGAGAAAGCAGTGTTTAGAAGATTAATGAGTCTGAAGGAACAGTGTGTAATAAGCTGCTCAGTCCTCGATTCCAGACAAGGTAATGGTAAAAGTAAATGTCTCTATTTCAGGCTTCAGAGCACAAGGCAGGTAGCAAATGCAAGGGCCGGTTCTAGTACCATGCCAGTTTCACGACACAATTTTATGCAAGTTTGGATAAATAAAGGTTTAAGGGTGTTCTTGGGTTCAGGACAGAGGGGGCATTGGAGGAGTGCTTTTTATGTTAGATGCTAATATGGTCAGTTCTCAGAAACAAATGCACCTCTCCTCATACTTCAAAACAGCACCTCAAAAGCACCTCAGAAATCCCAGCATGGGGAATGTGCAGGTGTTTGAGATCAAGGAGTGAGTTCATAAGCTTTAAAATTTTATTTCTATATAGTCACAACTAAAATGAACTCTGTGGGTTGTTTTTTTTTGGTGTGCTGTTCTGCTGCCAATTTAAAACCAGCTTCCTTTTATCTCAAAACTGCCTTTTTTAAATGTAATTGTAAAAGATGGAACAGGTTTGTTGTTTATTTTCAAATGCTTTTTTTTTTTCTATTCAGGTGCAAGCGAATTAGGAGAATTTCATGCCTTTATTGTCATAGACACGTTGAATCTGTCTGAAGTGTCAGGCAAGGAAATCTTCCTGCTGCGAATCCGAAACCCTTGGGGGAGGAGGTGCTGGAAAGGGCCCTGGTGTGAGGGGTGAGTGGGTTTATTTTCATCTGGAAAAGCATTTGTGGAAGTTGTGAAGCACAAAACATATTTATGTGTTGCATAGGCAAACATTGCTAATAGTCTGTAGCCAAGCAGAGACACGTCAGTCCTTTAGAGAGTTTGGAGTTCACACAGCTCATTGATTATAAGGTTGGTAATTTTGATCTCCTCATTCTGGCAATCTAAATTTGTTTAATAACTCTTTTGTTTTATCAAATCACCGTATCTTTTCATAGAGATAAACTAAAGGTGTTGGTTTATTTTCTGTTTCTGATTTCTGTGGTGCTTTTTTGTTGTTCTGCAGTTGATCTAAGTATCGTTGGTCATACGGTGTTTGTGACTTATAGTCACTCATCTTTACTTGACTTTTCTCATTTGATCTTGGCTCAGTTGCAGAAAACAAGCAAAGAAGTATGTATAGAACAAAATATAGCAGAAGGGAGGATGCTTATGCTTGTTGCTTGTGTGTCCTAATTCCTGTAGATATCTGGTATGAGTAGCAGAAGCTGGAACCAAGTCCATATAAAGTAGAAATAAGAGAGCTGTTCTAAAGGACATGCAGAAATATGTGTAGCAGTTCCTATAGCAAAGTAACAAGAATGAAAGGGCAGACCCTACTACCTTATTTTGAAAAGCATTAGAATATTTTGACTATACAAAAGAACATGCAATTCTTGACCCAAGGAGCAAGAATTCAGCATTAAAATATGGTAACAATATGTTCATGTTAATAATAATTTTATAGAAATAGGTTTGTTTTTTCCCTGAGTTAAAAAGATGGTTTAATTGTGTTCATTGAGACTTAAGCTGATGGTTCTTGCTTTTGGCAGAATTTGGGTCTCTTTTAGTTTCTTTGCCAAACAATAAGTTGCCATGTCGTTGCAAGAGGATAGGGTTTCATTGTGTGGCCTTAGAGTCGTGTTTTATTCCAGTGCAGGACTATTCTTTTTTTATTAGTGAAACAATGAAAAATGTTGAAACCAGGAGCTTTCAATGGCCCCTAAATAATGAGGTGTTTAAATCCTTGCTTTGTCATGACTTAGCCAACAGATTAGTGGGGATAACCAGCTGCTTCATGCAGACAGCAGGTTTTGATGTACAGCATTAAAATTCTTTCAGAACAGTCACTGTGCAGCTTCTTTTACTTTTTCATTGCTGTTTTTAGCAACTGTTAAAATCTTACTTTGCTCTCATACCTCTGACTGTACTGACTGTTGCATGCAAAGCAGTTGTTTCTCCCAGAAGTTTCCTGCTGCAATCAGTCTGGTGTTAGGTTATTTCTAAGTTTTCTTTGATATGTTTTGACTCACACATCCTATAACCCTTCTCATTGACCAGCAATCAGAAATGCTCAATGCAAGTATTTGACAGTAAAATGAAGAAATATCTTCTTACTGTCCTGCTCCATAAAATACTTGGTAGAGCATTGCTGTGGAATGCTATTGGGCAAAGAGCTAAATGCCATCTTTTGTGTTATGTGCAGTGGTCAAGGATGGAGCCAGCTAGATCCAGTAGTCGCTTCACAACTGCTCTCGCAGATCCAAGAGGGAGAATTCTGGGTTGATGAAGAGGAATTTTTCAGGGAATTTGATGAGATTACCATGGGCTTTCCAGTCACTGAGGAAGGACAGCTTCAGAGCCTCTATACAGGTGTGGTGTGAAAAAACATCTTTCTCATGCAAATAACATTGCCTCAATGGAAATGTGGTTTGAATTGCAAATGGATACAACTGTGGATACAACCATAATTTCTCTTTCTCAGTTTGTCCCTCTCCTTTAGACCCATAGACCTTTTCTGTATCAGCTGGGAGGAACAGAGGGACAAGAGGAAATTGAAGATCTTTAGAGAAGTCTTTGATATTTCGCTAAAACCTAGTTACTTGCTAGTTAATTGAGAGATTAGTGCTCTCTGTCTAGAAGGCTGTTGTTCTGGACAGCCCTGTGACTTTTAGTTTGTTTCTAATGGTAGATACACTCGAGATTTCTAGACATATTTTCTTGTAAAAATCACGTTTTCAGTTTGCCATGACCAGCTGTAACATTAATTCTCATGCCGTTCAAAGTCTTGGTCATGAATTTCTGCTGAGAGAGATTGTCAGGGCTGAGACATCATGTTTTCCTGGTCTGGGGTATCTCTGCCACATGCCTGTTGTATAAAATAAAGTAGCCTCTTGTGTCTGAAATCTGCACCATGATTTTATTTTATCAGAGAAAGTGCTGTATCACTCGCAGAATCTCTTTGGATCCTGGGTGAGAGGCCAGTCTGCAGGTGGCTGCAGGAACAACAGCAGCTTCCCTACCAACCCCAAGTTCTGGCTGAGAGTCTGTGAAACGAGTGAGGTGTGCATTGCTCTGCTGCAGAAACACAGGAAGTACAGCTCTGACTGGGCTGGAAGGATTAAAAATCTGACTCCCTTAGCAGAGGAAAATCTATCCTTGACTGAAGGCATCCAGTCAAAGGGGAAAAATTACCAGGCTGTGGGATTGCATGTCTGGAAGGTAATACGTGAGTGGCATTTTTCTGTTTGCAAATAGATGTTTTAAAGCATTACTGAAACATTTGAGTAAAATCATTCATTTCCTGCAGCAGTGATATAATTCCACGGGTCATGCATTTTGCTCCTCTGATTTATGCTGCAGTGGTTCTGTTTATCTCACAGTTGCTGCCTGTACAAACTATCAGTGGGCTAGTACTTGCTTCTTATCACTGAGCACTTCGGCTTATTCCAAACCAGTGCATGACATTTCAGACTGATTATTTGAAGACCATTCCAAACCTTACTCCTCCTGAATATTAACTCTTCTTGCTCTTCCTTGATGTTCAGTTTATCTGCTGATGCTCTCCTCCTTGTTTCCTTTTGTAAATGTTATGCATGTTTTAATCAATATTTGATCATTTTTAGCTTTATTAAAAACTGCTCATTTTTCCTAAACCACCACACATCATTATGCATCTGTTCTAGGTGGAGAAGAAACGATTTAACCTTCCAAAGACCCTCTCTGCTCCTCCAGTTGTAGGTACCATCTGCCATTCCTACGATAGAGAAGTGCATGTGTGCTGTGACCTCTCGCCTGGCTTTTATCTTGTTGTTCCCAGCACTTTTCTCAAAGATGCAGTAGGGAATTTCTTGCTTCGTGTATTTTCAACAGGAAGGATCTCTCTCAGGTAGGCTTAAAACAAAACTGAACATTTCTTATAGCATAAGTATATGAAGTGTGAATGTTCAAAATCTTTTGAAGGGTTGTGCACAGTGCCAGGTAACACCATGATTTTGTCTTTGAGTTCATGTAAGTTGAGTTCTAGCTCCTTGTTTTTGTCATGAAGCTGCTATTACCTCTTGTTAAAACACCAATCAGAAGCAGCCAGATGAGTAGCATCTTGTCTCTAAACTGCAGCTTAGTGCTGTATGCAGGGGCAAAATGTGCTGTTGGCAACATGTTTAAAAGCTGTTCAGATTTCTTAATGTTCTGCTAGTTACACAGGTTTTATACATCTTGGTTTCTTTTGTTTCTTAATTTGATAGTGAGCTGAAGCCACCGCCCACAGATGCTGCCCTGTGTGAAGAACTCCCAGCTGGTGAATGGGAGACAGTGCAGCTGCATGGATGCTGGAAAAAAGGGGAAAGTGCTGGAGGTAGCAGGAACTTCCCCTCCTTTCATACCAATCCCTGCTTTCCACTCTCCATTCCTGCAGGACCAGGAAAAAGCAGTGTGAAAGTTACTCTCCGTCAGCACTGCCAGGATAGCAAGTGTTGTCCAATAGGTTTTCATATTTTCCAGGTAAGACTTCAGGTCAGTTTGGTTGCTCATTTGCCAAGGGTCAGGGTAAGTTTGTTAGTTAGTCCAGGGTTCCTTGCACTTGGCAAGGGATTTGCTTCTAGGAGAAACACAGGCTGGTCCTGGGAAGTAAAGGTATGGAGTAACTGCATAGTTACATAGCATAGTAACCAGGTAATTGGCTCCACTGAATCCTTCCAATGTTCTAAATTAGTTTTAGAAATTATGAACTCTTTTGGGCATTTGCAAGGAATTCTCAATTTCTTAGTGATCGAGGAGCAGAACCTTTTGGTAATTCATCATGAAAACTTACTTTCTTCGGCACTAATAATTATTTATTTGTCCATTGGCAAGTGACATTGGATCAAAAGGATCGTGGTATGTTGAACAAATGATCTGAAACAAAACAAGATACAATTTGGTGTGGACAGATACAGGTTCTACATGTGTGTGCCAGTGGTCAGCTGCATAAGTGCAGCATGGGGAGCTGCTGCAGATAAAACTTGCTTTATTTTTAGAAAACATGCTTCGAAAAGTTGTGGCTTAAGTGAGAAGTCTGGAGTTGAGCATCAAAAGTGATCCTAAAGCTTCGAATATAGAATATGTGACAAAATATTGGCATTTTTTATGCCTGTAGGAGACTGAGGTGAAGTCTAATATAAACTTTCAGTAGAGGAAAGGCCACTAGAAAGAGGAAGGACAGTCTGTTCACCACATTCATGAGGTGAAAAACAAGTGCCTTAGGCTGCAGCAGGGAAGAGTGAGGTTAGACAACAGAGAAATCTTTAGAGCTATGTGGGTAGTGGGATGTATAAATCGTCCACAAACATGCTAGGAATGATTCATCTGTACTTGATACTGCCATCTGGGTTTTCTGGACACCTTCTCATCCCTCTGCTCTATAGCTCTGAGTGAGTATTTGGAGTGGACTAGAGATGGACCATACCATACTCTGGTGTCCTGGGAATGAAACACTGTGAGACCTGAAAGAGATGAAAAGGTAGGCATGTTTACATTCTCTTTTGTCAGGTGCCTAACTGCAGCTGGAAACCACAGACTACTTCTTTTCTACACTTGGAGCCACTGGTGAGCTGTGTTCCTCATTGCTATTCGCAGGAGGTGAGCAGACTTTGCAGGCTTCCTGCAGGAAGTTATGTCATTATACCTTCTACATACCTCCCCAGTACAGAAGGCAATTTCACAGTGGTCATAGCAACCAAAATAGACAGGTAAAATTGCATTGCCTTATATTTGCATTTTTAGTCTTTTTTGTGTATGTATTGCAGGATGCTTGGAAACAATAACTGTAGTAATATGTTCTCACTTGATGGA